CTCTAGGACTATTTCTGGGACTAGTATCTGGGGTTTTGACTCTTGACGTACTGGGTCTATTCATATCTCCTGTGTTTATTTCCAATTTTTTTATTTTATTTGTCTGTTCTAAGATTTCTGTATATGTTTCACTTATGTCACTTATTTCTGATTTTTGGTCATTTTCATTTTCATCTATTTCATTTACTTCATTTATCTCAATATCTTCATTTAATTTTTGTTCCATTTCTTTTATTTCATTAGTTAATTCAAGCTCTTTATCTTTTTCCTTTTGTTTTTGCTTATTTTCATATAATAATTTTAACCTAACTAATTCCTTTTCTAATTCACTTATTCTTGTATTTTTTATTTCTTCTAAATTTTGTACTTCTTGTTTTACTTGTATTTTTATTTTTTCAATTTCTTTTGATTTGTCTATTTCTTCATTTTCTTTTGTTATTCTTATCATAGCTGTTAAACTATCTTCTAATTTTGCTGTTTCTTTTTCTAACATTAAGTATAAATTATTTCCTATCTGTCCAAACTTTGGTGGATAAAGTTGCTTGTTAACTGTGCTGGTGGTAGATAGCAGGTACCCCATGAATTAGTTGGGTGCGCACTAGCTTGACTTAGACACCATGGTTAAAACAGAAGTCAGGACTGCCGGATGTTGAGCAAAAATAAGGAGGAATTTGAGGCAGATAATATGACTAGTCTTAGTTTCCTGACCAACCATGTGTACTACAGTCAAGAGTGACTTGATTGGAAATTTACGGTTAAGTGACGAGCCTGAATTTGGCCAAGCTAAGTTGAATTGAGATCTTCTCTGATTTGCTTTTGTTCATTTTGTTTGGCTGAAGTTCCAAAGGCATGATTCTGATACTTAATAATGAGAAAACACTTTTGTTAGTGCAGTGCAACATAAAGTTCTTGGGATCCTTGTGTTAAAGGTTTTTGAATGTATTTTTCATGATGAAATGAATAGTTCTGTGTGATCGTATATTCCTGTTTCCTTAAAGGAAGTCTATTGAGAAGCATATGCTTCATTTGTGTATTTTCTTGTTATTATTCTTGAAAGATAATCATTTGTGGGACAAAAGATCTTCTTAATCCAGTATAGGACAACGAACAGCCTTCTGTTCTCTCTACTGTCATTCTTCATATGCTATTAGTATTTCTATTGGTAGAATTCTTTCTCTGTGCTTCAATTTACTATTTCCTCAATCTAGACTGACTGGTTGTTTTCTCCTGGCAGCATGGATTTGAGGCTCTGCCTGTGTCTTTTCATAATTGGTTCTAGCTGGGTCTGTGCTGCTAGAGAATTAGCTGTCCTGATAACAGAAACTGAAGATGTTTCAGGTACTTTCTCTTTTTTCATTTTAATAGTGGTTACAATTGTAAATCTCTGTATATGAAGTCATGGGACAGTTGTAATGTGTGCTAGTTGAGAAACAAAATGAACAAAAACCCTATAAACCTTATTTTCGGACTTACAAATTTGGTGTCTCCAATGGTTGGCTTTCCTTTCATTAACAGGAACTTCCTTGGTAGTCAGTCTCTTATTGGAAGTTTGTGCTTTTCTGCTATACTGCTGCTTGTAGTTTATATATTTACTTCCTCAATCCTATTTCATGTGACGGAATTCGACTAGCCAGAGAGTTAAGTATGTTAATTTGACATATTGTTAGTTGTGGAAGAAAATATGTGCACAATAATATGATTGATGAAATAAAACATTAAGTATTATAATTTCACATAGTTAATTGAATATGAAAATTCATAAATTTTTTGAAGTGCATCGAACATTTTGTAATGTCTCAAAAAAAGAAAAAAATATATGTCCTATAGATTTTTAGAGGACTAAGTACTAACTCGACAGCTCCTCAAAAACTCTTCTAATAACAACTTCTATCCTGCCTTGTGTACTATAACTCCAACCTTTCTCTAATCAGAAAACCTTTTTCCTTCTTCACCAAATAAACCATACCTTCCATTGATCCTTCCTAGTACACTTCCTCAAGTCTTTCTATCTTGTCAAATAAACAAATTTTCATATCGTTTTCCTTTCAACTTGGAAAGGGCTAAGGATCAAACAATGGCTAAAGATGTTCATGTCAATAGTTGATTCGAGCACAATATCTACTTGGCTAGGGATTCCTAGTTTTTTTTCAAACTTGCAATCTTTGTATCTTTTTATGATCAATTCTAATATACATTTATTGGACTTCATTAATTAATACACAAGTGGTTTTTTCCACGCGAGGCATCTTTCTTGTAAATTATGTCAATCCTACTTGCTAGCCTAGTGTACTCTCTTACCAAAATGTTTAGTAGAAAATGATTTGAACTGGTTGATGTATTAGTCATTTTGTATAGTTTCATTATTGTGTTAGTTAGATGCTAATGTTAAAAAAATATGTATCTTGGCTTTATTGCACCAGTATTGCAGATTAATAACCTAAAAGAACTGAGACAAGTTCAACCTCTGGAAGAAGTTAATGGAAGTGAACAGTTGTGCACATTGTGTGAAGAATATACCGCCAAGGCACTTAATTACATGGCTAATAACAAGACCCAAACAGAGATCATTGACCGTCTTCACAAATCTTGTTCGAAGATGCGATTTTACAAGAAGGAGGTACTTGTAATCTACCTTGAAATTGCTTATTTTTTGAGCAATTGTTTTCATCACATTGTGCTGTCAGATCATTAATTTGGATTGCGTAATATGAGACTTTGAATGGTTTTCATAGCGAGGTTTCTGATTTGATCTCTTTGATTTTCTTGGTTGCAGTGCGCCATACTCGTGGATTATTATGCTCCTCTCTTCTTCTTACAGATCAACAAAATGAAACCTGAAAACTTTTGCCAACAGTTTGGCCTTTGTGAACAAGTGGTTATTATTTCTCAGGCGCTTTCTGGAAAGAACTGCAATTTATGCCACAAACTAGTTACAGATGTCGAATCAAAGTTGAAAGATCCTGACACACAGGTACATTATGTTTTGCTTTATATCTGTAATATAGATATATTAATAAAGTTTACTCGACTGTGCATATGTGAAATGAGAACTCCATGTATGATTTCTTGTACACTTGCAGCGCTAGTCCTCGTACATGATATCATGAACGATGTATTAAGTAAAGGAACTGTTAATTTCTTTGTGTGTCTTGCCGGCTTGAAATAATATCATGCTTATGTAATTGGACACGTAGGTAATATACTCACTTGGAATATGTTTGGTTAAAACTCATTTTTATTTTGTCATCCTTTCAGTTTGAGATACTTGAGCTGCTCTTGAAGGCATGTGGAGCTATCGAACCTTATACTAAGAAGGTTAGAAACATCTGAAATGTAACTGTTTGATCATAGTTAAATCGGCACGTGTGCTCATAATTTCCAGATTTCCTCTTCAATCAATTTTTTGAATTCCTAGTAGATATGAATAGTGTCATACTTGGTGTTTTTCTTGAACATTTTGTGTCTATGAAATGATTTTGCAACCCTGCAGCGGCCGATACATCTAGGCATTAAAAATATTACTAATAGGGGTATAACTAGTTCCCAATCAAACGACCCCATAGAGTATAAATAACGATGCAACACTGAAAAACCTATACCAAAACAACATTCTCTGAAAATTTCACTTCTTAGTTCATTGGTCTTGCACTTTGGTGACATATCGTTGAATGTCGAACTCTGACCTCTATGAAAAGAACCGATCAACCCACTAAGATAAAGCTCTTGTCAATGTCCCCCTAGACCATACCTCTTGTCGTTGTCTTGTGCAGAAAAGCGTACTATTTAGTATAATGAAAGTATTATGAATACTTTCTTACGAAATGAAAACTCATTGACATGAGTTGTAGTAATTTTTTGAATTGTGTGATACTTTTATTATTAATTGAATTTTCAGGGTTATCTGGTTCAGTGATTTTTTCATTTATCATATCTTTAAATATCGACACCTTTTGCGTAAAGTTTTGCATAGGCCACTGAATTCCTGTATCCGTTCACTGGTATCCTATGAAATTCAGTTGAAAATTCTTAAAAGCCCTGTTTGAACTGTCATTGGTATAGGATGTATCGTTAGGGTGTGCCGAGTCAAGTCTATGCCCCCTTTTTTTTCCGATGCAGAAAAGAGATTGCATAACCTGTTTATCTATGCTGATGTTTTTACTGTCTCACTCTCACATTTTTGTCTGTGTGCGATTGTGTTTTTACAGTGCAAGAAACTGGTGTTTGAATTTGCGCCAGTGATTCTCGTAAATGCTGAACAGTTTCTGGAACAAAATGACGTATGTGCTATTCTTCATGCTTGTGAGCCTGCAGTAGATAAAGAGCAAGCATCAAGGAAGCAAACTTCATTGCATTCGGCCTCTTAAGGAAAGTATAATGGTACCCAGACTAGGTTGGGAACATATTGTTGTGTATGTAAACAATTAAATAACATCATAAAAATTTATGAATTATTGTGTATATGTATATAGTTTAATATGTTGAATTCTAAACTTTATTTATTGTTATGAACCACAGTTATTTATGCAAATTGTAAATAATATTAAATGTTAGTACCGTCTATTTAATGATTTGCTTTCAAGTTTCACCAATTTAGACAATTGGGCCAGGGCTATGGCATGTTTTGACCCATTAAGACTTGGACTGGCCTTGCCTTATCCGGTTCACTGTTTTTTCATCATTTAAGTGGCGTGCCTTGCGTGAATCATTTTAAGTTAATATATTAAAAAGATACAAAACATTGAGAGAAGCTCATGTCTAAATTAAGATTGATTAGAGGAGATTTGAGTTGGTTGGGATTGAAAATAATCAGTTTACAATGCACACTTTATCACATCAACAATGTATATAGATGTATATGCATTGTTCTATAGATAAGGAAGAGGCAAAACAAAAAAGGCGCTTTCATCTATCTCGGCCAGTTTTTCGAGGCATTGGAAATCGATAAGTAATTAAAGTATGTGACTGTACAATATATATGCAAAGTGAAAATCTTGGAGGAACCAAAGATATCAGCAAATACAGTCAATGTGCTCGATCAGTCTCCGATGTTAAAGTTTCTAACTCATGATTGCGATTGATAGATCATCATCATAATGTGAGATTAGGCTGTTAGAACAAAAAAAAATTAGGTCAAATCTAATATAGCTGATAAAATACAAAGAAGAGATACGTAATGGTGTAACCAACATAAACTAGTGTAGTCCCATTAAATGAGATCTGAGGAGGCTAAATTGTATGTGTTAGAACAAATGAACAAGAATTATAAAATTACAAGGAATTCAAAACAAAACTTGCTTGGCTTAGAGACACGTTAATATGTTTCTTGAAGATAGTTGGAGTGGTCTCTCCCATGAGCAATCGGAAGAATAAATTACAACTCTGTCTTCACGATTCAACTAAGCCACAAACAAGTAGCATTCAAGAATGTTGCTCTTCTATTTTTGAATTGGCGATTTCATCTTTTGATTAATATCTCACAAGTATTTTTCAAAGGAAAAGTAGTTTTTGAGTGAATATCTTTTCAACTAAAAGAAACTCAATTTAATTATAGTACAAAGGTTTTGCAAGAAAAAGACTTTTAATTAAATATAATTTATTATAGGTTAATGAAATGAAACAAAACATACATTTCAAAATTCCATAACCTAGAACTCAAAAGCCTCTTTCAAAATCTTATAATGTAGAACTAAAAAAAAGATTGTTACAACTCACATTCATATATTTTGTTCTTTCAAAACTTTTAACGGATGAATTTGTTTCAAAATTAATCGAAACACTAACTCTTACATTCCACCACTTGTTTCAAGAATTTCTCTTTTATCTTTGAAAGATCCAAAAAAATATTTTGAGACATTTAATCTAGCAACATGCATCAAAAATGGTGTCTTTTGGACTTGAACCATTAGCTAGTGAAGGATTTCTAAATCATTGACTACTTAGTGAACAAATCTTGAACTAAGTGGTTCATTGATTGAAGATACAAAAATACTCCACGTATAACACTATGTTCCGGTAAAAATCAAAATCCTTTGACACCTTACGACCATGTGTCCTGAATCCTTTTAGCCAAGAGCTTTAAGATTTCCTTGTTAAAATCTTATTGAAGCAGCCTCTGCTTCGCACTTAGTGTGGTGAACTCATGAAGAGTAACTTTGCATACACCGACCAAGTAATCTATAAACTTCATTATGAGAAATTAATCTCATCCTCATTTACAGCAAATTATCGGTAAATCTATCAAGATTGTTCCTACACACTCCAATCAAAATCGATTAATAGAATTATTAAGAGAATATAATCTCATCCTTCTCTTTATTAGAAATATTGAAAAAAATATCAAGAATTTTCTTACTAACTACAATCGATATCGATCTTATAAATTTATTAAGAGAAAAGAATCTCAATCATGCACATCTTGTTTCATTTTACTTGAAAATGGAATATTATTGATGTGCTTCACAATTTCAACTTTACTTGTTTTTCCCTTTGAACCCAAGATCACATCATTAGGTAGGGTTACCATAAAGTATAATTAATTTACAATGGGCTTTATTCATCCCATTACAAGTTTCTACCACTTACTCTTTACTTAACCCTTTAGATAAAGAATCCACTAAATTAAATCTAGACTTCACATATTAAAGCAATATCACGCCTTCCTCGAATAATCTCCTCACGTGATTATGTTTAAGACGAACTTGTCTCGACTTGACATTGTAGCAATCACTGGAAGCCCGAAATATAAAAGCCTGATTATCACAATAGATAGTTAAATGTGGTATTAGCTTACTCCATAAAGAAATATCTATCAGCATAGATCACAACCACTCAACTTCTTCTCTAGAAGAAGACATAACTATAAATTTTGACTCCATGGTTGAGTGAGTAATACATGTCTGTTTCTTTGATTTCCAAGAGATCACTACTCCAGCCAAAGTGAAAATCCAAGCAGTAATAGATTTACAGTCATTCGGATCAGAATTTCAAGTAGCACTGCTATGGCCTTCAAGAACAGCTGGAAATGTAGAATAATCCAGACCAACATTAATTGTACCCTTCATGTATCTTAAAACACGAATTAAGGCATTCCAATGTTCAACTCCGAAATTACTAGTAAACTTGCTCAAAGTTCCTACCGCGTGACCAATATCCTGCCAGGTACAGTGCATGACATACCTAAGAATCCCAACAATCCGAGAACATGTTAGCTGATCGAAAACATCACTAGAGTTCCACATTAGTTGGATGCTAGGATCAAATGGTGTAGGAGCAGATTTGTCATCAAAGTGACTACAAAACTTTCTCAATATAACTTGATTGAGTAATAGTCAAGCCATTAGCTGATCTCATGATTTTAATGCCCAAAATTACATCAGCTTCTCCAAGATCTTTCATTTCAAATTGAGAAGCTAGAAATGATTTTGTTTATTTGACTCTTTCAATATAAGTTCCAAAGATCAACATATCATCTCCATAGAGACATATTATAACACCAGATTTTTCTTGAAATTTTCTAAATATGCAAATATCATCACCATTGATTGATTAGCCATTAGAAATCGTTATTCTTTTAAATTTCTCATTCTACTGTTTTGGAGCTTGTTTTAATCCATAAAGATATTTAAGAAGCTTACAAACTTTGTGTTCTTAAACAGGTATGAAAAATCTTTCTGGTTGTTTCATGTAAAATTCTTCATCTAGATCATCATTTAGAAATGCAATCTTCACATCCATTTGATGTATTAAAAGACTATGAATTGCGTCTTAAGCAATCAAGAGTCGAATAGAAATCATTCGAGCTAGAGGTGTAAAGGTATCAAAATAACCAATATCTTTCAATTGAGTAAAACCTTTTTCTACCCAACAAGCATTGTACTTATCTAAGGTACCATCAAATTTTAATTTCTTTCTAAAGATCCATTTACAACTAACATACTTACATCCAGGAGGGAGATCTTATAAAATCCATGTACTGTTTGACATGATAGAATGTATTCCATCATCAATAGCTTTACGCCAGAAAGGAGCATCATGTGAAGTCATTGCTTCAACAAAACTTTTAGGATCCTTTTCAACTAAATAGACTTGAAAAATAGGTCCAAAGTGTCTTGGTTTGATTGATCTTGCACTACATCTTGGTTGACTTTCTTCCAGAGGCCCAACTATTTTTCATTTAAGAGGAGATATAGAGGAACTTGTATCTTATTCCAAAGATTCTTTTCTTAGAAAATATATACTAAAAAAAGTTAGCATGCAATGACTCGCTATTTGTGTGAGGGTTTGGAGTCTCAAGATTCAAAAATCTATAAGTCTTACTGGCTTGTGAATAACAAATAAATACACAATCTACTCCTCTATATCCAATCTTAGTCAAATGTCGATATGATATTCTAACATGAGCCAAACAACCCCATACTTTAAAATAATTTATATTTGGCTTTTGATTCTTCAAATTTCATACAGAGATGAATCATGTATCTTGGAATGAATTCGAATCAAAATATGATATGCAGAAAATAAGGCTTGAGTCCACAAATTTTCAGTGATACCAGATCCATAAAGCATAGAGTTAACCATTATGATGAATGTTCTACTCTTTCTTTCTGTTCCACCATTTTATTTTGGTGTATAAGACATAGTCAAATTGTTTCTCAATGCCTTATTTTTCACAAAATTAATAAAGTCTGACTTAAAATATTCTCTGCCTCTGTCAGATCTAATTGATCTAATTTTCAAACTTAACTTATTTTCAACTTTTGCTTTATATGTTTTAAAAGTCTCAAATGCCTCAACTTTTATTTTTAATGGAAAGACATATGTATACATGGAGTAATCGTGAATGAAAGTGATAAAATATCTCTTTCCATGATGTGATGAATAATCCATCTCACAAATATCAGCGTGGATTAACTTCAAAAGTGTGGATATCCTTTCAACACACTTAAAAGGTTTCTTTGTTATTTTACATTCACTAAAGTAATACACTTAGCAACATGATCCTTTCCACAATCTTTAATTAATGTATTTTTCACCATAAGTTGAATGAATCTAAAATTCACATGACCGAGACGTTCATGCCATAAATCTAAAGACTCCATAACATAAGCAAAAATACTTTCATTTTCAATATTGAGTTTAAACATTCCATTTGTAGCATAACCTTTTCCAAAAGATATGTCTTGTTTATAAAGATACATTTATCTACCTCAAAAATCATTTTAAAATCATGCTTCGAAAGAAGAATACTTGACACCAAGTTCTTTCGAATCTTAGGAATATGTAATACGTCTATCAATGTGACCATCTTTATGGAAGTGAATTTCAGTTCAACAGTTCCTTTTCCCCACAAGCTTAGAAGAGTATGAGTTTTCCATATGCAAAACTTTATCGCCGCCCACTAATTCACAGGTCGTGAAAGAATTTCGATTACCTGATATATGACGAGTTGCCAATGTCTATCTACCATTCCACTTGATCTCCCGCTACAAATGCTTCTGTGACCATTGCCACCAGTTCATTTTTTGTATTGTTATTTGCCTTTTCTTTCTTCTTTTCAGCATTAAG